TCTATCTATCTATCTATCTATCTATCTATCTATCTATCTATCTATCTATCATCTATCTATCTATCTATCTATCTATCTATCTATCTATCTATCTGAGACAGACATATATTTCAAGGAAATGGCTCATGCAAGTGTGGAGACTGGCGAATCCCCAAGTCTGCAGGACAAAGGGCTCCTGTCCCAAGAATTGGAGGTGGGAGGATGATGCACCAGATGCAGGCTCCAGACAAGACGCAGGCCACACCCCCCAAGAAGCGCCATTCTCAACAGATCAGCTGCTTACCTGCAAGTCAACCATGGAGGATAATCACATAACACCTGCCCACCCACCGAGAGTCACGGCCTGGCCTAGTCAGTGCACCCCCGTCGCCCATCGCAGGCGCCATGCGGACAGCGTGGGGAGTGAAAAGCATTAGACAAAGGACCAGCCCCAAACTCACCAAGTAACCCAACGGCACCCCCACCCAGGCCTGCGACACTCACGTGTGCACGAGAGGCCCTAGAAGGATATCCACACGGGCTCCTGTCCATTACACTCAGTGGACACGCTGGCTCACCCCGTCCTATGGTGTCAGATACCCAATGGACAGGGGCATGAAGGAGCTGCCAGTGTGAGACGCCAGAGCACTCTCAAAGTCCAGTGTTGGGACAAAGTGGTCTGAGGGTGCGGGCGGCACAGCAAGACACTTCTCCGAACGTGGCTGCGAGATCTAGGGGGTGCAGCCCCCTCCAAGTCGGGTGCAGCCATATTGGCTGGGTTCCAGGGTGCTGTGACGAGGGGTATAAGGCATGTGGGGGCCGCCTTTGTGGGGCTTCTCCACACTTGCCCTCAGCCAGGACAGGCATGGGCCCACTGGACGACCTTGAGGGACCTCTCATGAGAAACCGAGGAGACGCGGGTGGAGTTTCACTCGCTCAGTGTGCTCTCTCTACCCGATGGTCTCGCGCCCCTTCTCCCCGCTGGCGACTTTGGCAGCTGGCACCACGGTGGACTTCTGTATTCCTGGGCAAAGCACGGTCTGAATTCCTGCCACAGGGCCCCCTGGAAGCGATCGCCGTATCTACAACGTGCAGAGTCAAAAATGCTTCCCTGAAGAGGCCCCAAGTACACCAGCCGGCAGTTGGCTTGGCAGGGTGCCCCAGTGAAGGGTCCCCGAGACCAGCAAGGACACATCCCAGTTTGAGCTGCCCACAGATGACCATTCGGTGCCCGCTCTCGGCAGCTTGGAAAACGGGCCGTTCTTCCTGTTCTCCGCCACCCAGGGCCTCTCCACGTCAGAAGCACGCGCTCTCGGAAGGGGAACGTTATCGGTACACTGTCGCCACCGGGATAAAGACAACTCGGGAATGTGCTTTTGAAAACTGTCGGCTGAACTCTGTGTGTGTCAACAATGGACAATGTCGATACTTTTCTTAGACACGCAGCTCCGCATGCTGCCAAAGCAAATGTTCAGGAACAGGAATCGATTTCATGAATTCATGAATTCACCCATCGGGACGCATGGACCGTCAAATGGGAAGCGGGGGGCTGGGAAGACAAAAGCAAGCCAAGCCAAGCATCGCCTCTTACATGCCTGAGACGATGGTCTAGCACGGGAGCAAAGGCTGACCGATCCAGCCCACCAGTAGAAGCATGATGGCGAGATGAGGTGTGTCCTCGAGGAAACGGATGTCGTGGAATTTTAACAGAGCCATGCCAGGGGACCTTCTCCGGTCCTCCTCCCCAGGCTGCTGAAGTTGATCGTCAGAGCATCTCGTTGTCAACCCCAGTGGTGAGAAGCGGGGAGCACGCCTGGCTCACCCTACTCAACAGCTCTGGGACGGCTGAACCGTGTCTCCCGCCTGAGGGTCTTGTCCCGGAGCCCCGGCCGCTCCATTTCCCTCATTCTCTCCTCATTGTTGCCGGCTCTTTCCCGGCACCGTTCACCAACCCTTCTCCCCACACCTCTCTCCCTCCTGCTGCTGTATCCTCAGCAGGCTTTCTTCCCCAGCACTAACTCCCTGGGGAGTCTCATGCTGGCCCGGGCTCCAACTCATACCTTAGATCCTGTCTCAGCCGCCTTACTCTCCTTTCACTCTTATGATCCGTCTCCTCGGCTCTCTGCTGATCATCCCCAATCTGGCTGTTCACCGGGAACTACCAAGTCAACGTGGCCCGGGCACCCT